AGAGGATACCTCCCCCATCACCCCTCCAAAACCAAAAAAATTCAAGGACATCACTGATGACTAAAGTGTAAAGTAGAAGGCGGTGGAAAACTGGAGTTTTGTCCCTGAAATGGGATGCTGATGTTCTCATTTTTTCCCCAGTAAAGTTCATGCATTTAAGTTAATGTACCTGAAAGTTTTACATGTAGACTTTTATGCTAACCGTAGTTTTGATTTGTTTTCAGCTGTGGGATTGGGATCTTGGTGCTTCCACATGACCCTGAAGTATGAAATGCAGGTGAGTATTGAGAAGTAGCTGTGAATCATTTTATGTGTGTATCTCGCTATATAGTCATATTGCCATTTCTTGACTAGATGAAACTCGGATAACATGAGTTAATCTACCTTAAGTATCATTGTACGTGACTCCTGCTCTCAAGGAAAGAGTAGCGAGGGTCTTGTTTCATTAGATATTTCCCACCGATAAATATACAGGAATATATACTTGCATGTAAAATACGAACTATAATCAATTGCTTACGTTGGTAGAAGACACTTTATCCTTTGGGAAATCATCTTTTTACTCAAGTTGTTATTTTATAATTCATACAGCTTTGGCTTAACAGCAAGCACTATAGACTAGAGTTATTTTTATTTATTGTATCCTTTTTTTCATCTTAGTGTTTTCTGTTATGTTTTCTATTTATCTAGGTGTACCTGTAGCATTAATACTGAAGTCAGTATCTTCTGAGTAGCAATACTTGAGTCTTCCTCTCTCTCTTTTATTCTCAAGTAGGTGGTGTTCTGTAATAAATCACTGGGCATAAGGATTTGGTCCTGGTATTGCCCGTTTTCTAAAGGGACGCAAGGAGTCTTGTCCTGTTGTCCTGTTTCAGGTCTGAGAAGATTAAGGAAATTCATCTTTGAATTAAAGTCAGGGTGAAGTGGGATTCAGTTCAAAATTAAGAAACCTACGTTTAAAAGTGTGTGCTGGAAGTCTGTGCTCCCACCGTCGTCAATGGAAATACATTTACATCAGTGGAGTTTAGAGAGCCAGTCAGCTGGGCTGAATCATTCTCCGGACTCCGTTGGCAGCCTTAACTTGAATAATATTCATTTGTCTGAATAGAGGTGTTTAGTGTCATTTTTAGACCCTGCAAGAGTTCTGTCTGGCCTCCAGCTGCCATCCCACAAAGGCGCAGGTCTCTCAGACACCCCGGTCACATCTGCGGGTCTTGGGTGGGTGTGTTAGAGATGACGGAGCATCTCAGGTGGCATTAGGCGCCTACGTCATGGCAATGGAATTGAGTCCTGCATTTCTACTGATCACAATAGGACCTGAGACACTGCACATGTGGACACCAAAAGTGAGGTGTCATAAACTTGAACTGAATTACAATCTGTAGTGATGTTTGCCTCCATAATGCTCTGCTTTATAACTCTGGCACGTGCTGGAGGCTGGCAGCCTCCATGAAGCATACTGTTGCCACCACGTAAGAATATTTGCTGCTTTTCTTGGTGCGAAAAAGGTGGTTTCTAGATCCGTTTCACCACTCCCTCCCATATATAGGTGTGATTTACCTATATTCTCTTCAGTGGTGAAACGGCCTTGAATTTCCACCATTTCATCTCTCTTCCCTCAGCTGCTTGTTCCTAACGCTGCCAGTGTTTCAAATCCTCTTTTCGACACTGATGCAGAGGTGAGCAAGGCCACCCTGAAACCCAGATCGTTAAAGTCATCCAGACTTAAAACATTATGTGGGTTTTTTTTCTTGGTTTGGTGGGGTTTTTTTTTGTGTGTGTGTAGAGGCTATTTTAATCCAAGTCACTTTGATGCTACTTACCACGTAGTTCTGGTACAGAACAACTAAGGGGGCTGTGAACTGTGGTAAGTAAAGGGTGGGCAAGAGCAGATGAGAGGGGAGCAGGAATGTCTTGCATCATCTTTGCAACCAATGTAAAAGGCTTCGTGCGAGGCAGAGAAAGTACATTTATTATTTTGGCAGCCAAGTGAAATCCGCCAGTGGCCCATAGTTACTCTGATTGCTAGCTCACGAATCACCACAGAGGAAACATTTCAACCCGTAAATAATCTTTTCTTGTTCACTTTATCTCTTGTTATGATTAAAAGTCAGCATTGATAGCTGTTTGAAGAGGGTTTTTTTTTTGTTTGTTTTTTTTTTTACTTTCGTTTCACATCTTAATTCTGTAAATGGTCAATTCAGATTACTTAATTAAGAGAAATGAGAAAGCTTCTGTTCTTGAAAGCAATTACTTAAAATACTTCTGAAGCAATCACGTCTCTCTTTCTCTTATTTTTTGGGAATGTGCTTGATTGTGCATTCCTCAAGAATCCAAAATGCTTATTTAACTAGCAAAATCAGCTCACGGAGTTCCCTTCTATCCATGTTTCTTCATTGGCATGTTCAGTCATGCTGTTGACAGTATTTCTGGAAGCATTAAGCCCTTTGGATACAGAAGCCATTGTCTTCTGCAAGCAAATTCTAACTCGGATCTTTTGAGAGGCTCTTTGATGTTACCGTTATGTCCCTGAGATGCTGCCAGCATATGAACTTAGTGTAATCAGCTGTCCAAATCTGAAAATTTTTGCTTTATTGTATTTCTTACTCTTTTTTTCCCCCCCTTTTTCATTTATGAGGCCTTAAATGACTCATGCTCTTAGAGCTGCGTGAATTAATCCTGCAGCTAATTCCTGTCAGACCTGGTAAAGCATATCACTGAACTTATAAATGATAACTATTAGTATAAAGCCGAATTCAGCTATTGCTTCTATTTTTTCCTCTCTAAGGCATCACAGCAAAGATAAACTAATGTGATGGCAAGGTGCCACCTAATCCTCCTGTTAGCTGCAGCTGCCATCTCTGTTCCCGATACTTTCTTTGTGCTCCCTGTTGCGGCCTCTGACCCTATAATGCACGGATTCAGGAATTTAAACCTTTTTCTGCAAGGTTAGTCGTGTGCTGGGTCGGCTGTTGGAGCGGGTTCGCCGTGGGTCAGACGAGCATGACCGCCTCACTCGGGAGAAGCAGTGGGAGGGTGGGTGAAGAAGCAAGACCTGCCTTTTCAGTGGCAGCGAGTCCGAGGATCTGTTAAGCAGGTAAGGACTGAAACATTTCCTTAAGTTACTATGGCTAAAACCACGAAAAGCTGGTAGTTCACACTCAGAATAATACATCTCTCTCCTTCTGTAAAGAACTAGATCACTTTTTTTCCCCAATATGAAATTTCAAAACTAAAAGAAAGTTTTTGCCTGTGCAGTTAGAAAAATTCTCCCAGACCAAGCAGAATCAGGCTGGCTTTATAAAAGGGTTTGTGTAAGTTGCTATTGCTCTTAATGTGTCTCATTGTTCAGAAAAACACGGTTGTGAACTTGTTAAGTACCTTGTACCAGTAGTAGGAAGGTAATTTCTGTACAGGCACGGTCATCAACAACTGTCAGAGTGATGATGGAAAAAGATCAAAATCTTGTTTGCATCCAGTTCTTGTTTTCCTTAGGAATGAGTCAAACCTGGTGTAACAATTCTAAGATGCCTAACTATTAACGTTTGCTTACCATGTTAGAAATCAGAGGCAGGGGATCTTCACTGATCCATTTGTATGCTTTTGCATTTTCACGATTTTCAGTCCTTCATAAGAGGAGGTAAGTTTAACTATATATTTATGAGCCAAAATTTGTTAATGTTCTTTGATGAGAAAAGTTTTAGAAGAAAATGATGCTATGATTTTCCTCCCCCCCATGATAAATAAATGGCAATTTTGAGTGTACCTGTTCTTGAGAAATCACCCCTCTTGTGATTACTATTTTAATTCCATCTCCATTAAGGTGGCAAGTTCCTGGAGAAATAACTGTTTTAGTTGTAAGATGCCAGTCTTCTCCCAGAGTATAAAAATTACTTTAAGACAATAAAACATTATATGGCATTCATAATTTGGGGAAAAAAACCCAAGAACCCCACAACAAATAAACAAACAAAACCACCCCTGTCTCTGGATGAAAACAATGTAAGAGATTTCCACAATTAGGAAGTGAACATGGAAGCGCATTGCAAGGTGCTTCCTAATGGGCTGAAGTTCTGGTTTATGTTATGGAAAAAACGTATTTCAGTTTCTCTGTGAGGTTTGTACAGAAGTAAGAAAATGCTACTGGCTGTATTGAGCAGGCTAAAAATGGGGTGGTCTTATTCAATCTGACTTTACGAAACTAATTCTTATAAATGTTTCGAGAGGTTATGAACAGTGAAAATGGCATGATTCTTTGAAGGCATGGGCTTTTTATGAAACATAATATTCAAAAGATCGAGAGTAATAAGCTTATTAATGCAGCAAGCTTTCGGTAGTTGAGTAGGATTTGACACAGCTGCATACTGAAGTACAGTCGAGAAAATAGATAACCAAATGACTTAAAACCCCCTGTTTTCTTGAGACTTATTTCTCCTTAATTAACTTACACAAGCGTGTGAGTTAAAAATAGTTTTCATGTTTTGATGTCTCTGCTTTTTGTAGCTGTTGGATGAACTGCCAATGATATACAGTTGTTGTGTGTTTGTCTACTGCCTGTAAGTATTTGTTAAATGTTTTTTTTTTCCTGAATATTTAAGAAATATTAACTTTGGAAATGTAGAATCTGTGAAGCCCAATCTAGTGTATAGCGAGGCTGACACTGAAGCTTTTACTGATCTTAGTGGGCTCAGTTTTGCTAGTAGTACAGCATTATGACTTGGCCATTAGAGCACCAGGCTGGCTTTAGTCATACTTTTTGCTAATTCAGAGATGTTTTACCGATGTTTGTTTAGCAGAAAAAAAAAAAAACAACCCTCTTGTTGAAGACTTTGTATAGTATACAACCAGAGCTCAGTGTCACTTGGTATGTAAACAGCAGACATAATAAAATCAACTTCAGTAACTACAAAATTATCAACATTGTAATTTCTTTGAGCTGTATTTCTATGATGTAGTCTGACTCCAAATGCAAATTTCAAATTTCTGGTTAAACCTGCTTTCCACTCATCTGGAAAATTAAAGAAAAAAGATTTTATGAAGAGTTGAGTGCGTATTTTGTGGAGAGTGTCTTGGAACATGCATGGCAGCTTAATGCCATGCCAGGATGTTTTCTCCCAATTAATTGCAGGAGCAATGTAGCATTTGGCGACGGTAAAGATACCGTAAGTTGGCTTTTTCTTGCCTGTTGCTGCAAGGCCTGGATTTAACATGATTTGTTCTGTCACTTGGAAAATCCAAATGATAAATCAACTTGTTGCAGAAAAAAAAGACAAAAAAGTTGTCTTTTTGCTTTTGAACACGTCAAATAGTCAGCCGTTGAAAATTGGAATATCTTCGGTGAAGGTTACTGGTAGCTGGCATTGGAGATGAGATGCTACAGGACCAAACCGACATCTGTGGAAATTACCATCAGTTTGTGAATCATACATTAGTATGATTTGTGGAAACTCAGGACCAGAATTATAATGCCTCTGTTAGTGGAAATATTTTCATTATAGCTCCCTATCTCTTTGAAATTGCCTTTGCATTTATTTTGTCTGATTTGAATGTGATTGGGGAAAAGGATGAGAAGTGGCTATAAAAATCTGTTTGAAAAAATAATCGTGCTTATTTTGTGCAATGGTTACTCTATTATCTTCAAAAGCACTGAAGTCTGTTACTGCATTTATAGCTCTAATAAGATTCTGTGTATGTATGATTGGTAGTAATTAAAATGTTCTGAAGAATGAGCTAATGCTTAGTTTAGGAGGCCTTTAATAATCTTTTTGGTTTTCTTGAAGGTGAGTGGCGGGGTGGTTCTGCACAGGACATTCCCTTATACATCATTCAGTCCTACTGACTCTCAAGCTGTGTAACGCCTTGGGCAAGCCATTTTGCAATCTAGCACATTGTGCTGTCAGATATTCCTACGTGTTTTTTCTTTGTTTCCTTTTATTCATCCATGATGGTGTCTGTTTCCAAAAGTTTATAAACAAATAAAGTAGGCAGATGTAACTTGGAGTTCTATAGACAACTTCCTTTAGCCCTAATGATTTTGTGCTTCTCAAAGTTCATTTTTTGTTGGTTTTTTTTGACCTTTTTTCTGATGTAGATGTGGTCTGGGATGCGTGCGTATGTAATTTCATCACAGCTGTGACTGAAGTGTTGCGTAGAGATTGCGAAGCTAATTTTAATTAGTTGTTTTACATACTGGGAGCTATTAGCTGTTTTTACCTTCCACTTCTACTCGTACCCAATCTAGCAAATTTACTGCACTGTGGCTGTAGCAAAGCCATAAACAATCTGCATTTTAACAGATCTCTAGAGTTCACTGTTTTGTAAGGCAGGCCCTTTCCCACGCTGCCTTTAGCTCACAGATGTAATGTTTTTTGGCAGCTGTATTGCACTTTAAACTCATTTCTAATTTGCCATCCATTATCACCCCTTAAGCACCTTCTGAAAACGCTTCTGCTTCCCAAACTTTTTCCACTGGCTGGGTTAATTTTGTATATGCATGAGCTATTGTGGTTTTTTGCACTAGATTTTTTTAAAAAACATTTATTGATAAAAGTGTGAATTTTTGTATTAAAATGACACATCTTTATTGGAGGAGCTACAATTCCTTGAAGGGCCTAAGACTCATTTGGATCAATTTTCTCACAAATTTTGTGATAACATACCTTGAAAAATGTGTTCTTTATACGGTAAGTGATGAATGTTATCACTGTCCTTTATGTTCTGTTCCAGGTATGAATGTTTCAAGTACAAGAACACAGTCAATTATCCACTCCTTTTCTTATTAATAACATACAGCTTCGTAGTCAGCATAGTAAGTAACTTTTTCTAATACGGCATTTTGACCTGTAGGTTGACGGTTTTCCTGCCTGTGAAGGAGCGTTACACAGGCACTACTGAATCTCTCTCACTTCCAGTCAACAAGGACAAATTATTCTTTTGTTGGGAAAATTATGTGCTGGCCAGAGATACCTGAAACCTTTCTATCTAAACCACTGTATAGCATAAATGAAGAAGAAAAGCAGTTATACTGTTGCTAGAATAGGAATGTGAGAAAAACAGTTGCTGTTGACTTGTTATGAGACCTTGGACAAGCTGCATTCTTTATCTTCCCTCACTTTAATTCATCTACAGAAATGAGAATAATCGTGCTCAACAGACTGCAAAAAGTGAACTGTGATACACAGTCCGGGATATTGACTGGTGTTTTAAAAACAACAGCCAGAATAAGAAAGGAACTTAGCTGTTAAAAAAAAGGAAGAATTTTAACTGTGTCGTGGCTAACTTGATTCCCTTTCTCAGTGCCATGTGCCCCCTTTAAAAGAGTTTTTTGCTGGTGTCAACCACAGATGGAATCTCCTACATTATTTTTATCGATAACCATTTCTTAAAAAAAAAAAAAAAAGTGTTATAGGTCATCTTCTGCCTTCGGAACACTTGCCTGTTCTCTTCTTTGCCTCCTAAGATTTTTTACACTTGTGACACATTATGCCTAAAGTCTAGGGCCCTTCTCTCTTCAAAAGCAGAAATTAAACAAACTGCATTAATAACGGGAAGAACTACTAACTTTTTGTAAAATGAGTTGAAACGTTAAAGCATTGTCAAAACCATTAATAATAGCAAATCGAAGTAGAGTACATTTTCTTCTTGCAATGCACATCAAGAATGTTACTGGTAATTTCTGCATCTTAATTGTTTTTGTATGTGTTGCAACTCTATTAAATGAGGAGATTTTAGATGTTAATGTCTCTATTTGTGCTTCTTAATTTAAAATAATTCCACAGTTAAAACCTCAGGTTTTGCCAGGGGAAACTTCAAATGTTTAATCAACTTTAATGGTGCCTGGATAGGCACTCATGTCTTGATTCTAACAGAAAAGTCTTAGCAATATTTAGATGAATAATGTTATGATTGTTCTCTGTTGCAAATTACTTCTCTTTTTTTAATCTTTCCAGATTTACTTAAATTTGAAAGAGCCTGTATTCCATCAGGTAAATCTTGCTCTGTTGGAGAAGCTAATCTTGTTTTTAAACTATGCTGTTTTATTGAAATGTTTTATGGGGTTTTATAGCTGCCAGGAAGATGGAAGGCAAGCACAATTTGCCTTTTGCTTTTTCTTGAAGGAGTATTGCTGCCTGTCATGTTGCCATCCTATAACTTGGTGACCCGAAAAACTAGAATAGTTTAATGTGTGTTGTGTTTTAGCATTTGACCTACTATTTTACAGGTTTTTTTCTATCAGCGGCAAGTGTAAGGAGGTGACCCTCGCTACGGGCTAAGGTGTGTGTGAGAGGGAGGGCTTAAGGAGTCCTTGTCCGCTTCTTTCCATTAGCGGCTGCTGTGCAACTATGACCTGACATCGTAGCATGGCTTGGGCGACTTAGCACCATGTTCTTCTCTCCACTTTAACATATTAGTTCTGAGGTTTTTTAACTACTCCATTTTACTTTGTGTAAATTCAAGCTGAATTTAAACAGAGAATGTCTTCTAGGGTTATGTAGCAAACTGGTTGTTATGGTCTTACAGGCTTAATGGCACATTTGGTACAGCTTCCTTTTGTGGCAGCTGAAGAGTATTAATATGCATCCACTGCCTGTGGGGACAGGACTTGTATCACTTGTCTCTTCACAGAAGGTTAGAAATCATGCTCATTTATGTATGCCACAAGTAGTTTTCCCTCATTTATGATTTTTTGATTAGGGATAACAGCTGAAAAATTGCCAAGCAAAAGCACCGAGCTCTTTGCAGGACAGAGCTTTACAGCCTTAATTTCTGAAACTGGTAGTGCCATTGCTTGTCAAAAGGAGGATGAGGAGAAGGCTGAGGTACTTAATGCCTTCTTTGCCTCAGTCTTTAATAGTCAGATGGGTCATCCTCGGGGTTTTCAGGCCCCTGAGCTGGGAGATGGAGATAAGATGCAGAGTGAAGCCCCAGTTGTCGAAGAGGTGGCAGTCACCAACCTGCTCCTCCACCTGAATGCCCACAAGTCCATGGGGCCAGATGGGATCCACCTGAGGATACTGAGGGAGCTGGCAG